AGCAAAGGTGATCTGTTACATTTTTGGCCGATTGCATGATAAAGCATACACAATAAGAACAATCAAAGTATTATAATACAATACAGCAATAGTATTAGAGGTATATACAGATCAATCATTCTTGAGAACAAGGTTGGAGTACCAGATTGTTCAAGGGAAATCGAAGGAGAGTACCAACTCTGTCGGCAGTATGTACCAATTTAACAAACGTAAGAGCAAAATAATAAAACAAAAAGAAAAAAGGTTGTATATTATATATGTATAAAGTTATACTCACTCGAACCAAGAAGCCATCTAGCTACTACTCCAGTCCCTGAAGCCTGTCTCCTCCTCCGCTACAGCGATGGTCCCTCGGCATCCTCACGTCCTATAAATTGTGTATAGAACAGGATGACTCGAGGATCCTTAGGCCACTGCAGCTGAAGGGGAGAGAGGCTCCAGTGACTGGTCGAAGAACAAGCCGGCTCGGAGAATCGGGTGAGTTTATATTTTTAGCATCTAGACAAAAACGAGCACTTAACCCTTGCAATGAGAGGCTAGCCCCATTGCTAGGTTTAAGAACATTTTTGCCTAGAGTTCTGCTCTAAGCAGTCACAGCCCTTCAGAGATCCTTCAGGCTTAGTAGTGTGGGCTTGTTCACACCATGTCTGTTAAGCATGCCTCATTTTCTATGTACCCTGTTCATATGACGTGCAGTGGGGTGCATAAAAACACATCTCAGACATGGTGTGAACAAGCCCTATACTCATATGATCCTCGGTCCCTTTCAAAAAACGTACGATCTGCCCATCTTGGACAGGCAGATCGTATCTGCGATCATCGCAAGCCCGCCCCCCACCCCCCTCCCCGAGGGGCGGGCTTCCGATGACTGCAATGCTGAATGGGCAGTGTGCGCGTGCGCACACCGGCTCGTTCGGCATTTGTCTGCCGAGCATCGTTCAAACCAGCCGAAAATCGTAAGATTCTCGGCTGGTTTTCTAGCATGCTCCTTAGACAAAAGACGTGCGACCCTAAAGTAGAAACGGTCGCACGTCCACATTCACACTGCACGATTCCCATAAGATCGCGGGATTTCCCGCGATTCTCGTAGGAGAATCGTGCAGTGTATGGGCTCCTTAAGGATCCTCAAGTCATCACATTCTATACAGTGTAGAGGAGATATACAGTGTAAGGCTGGAGATAGCATTGTCACAACTGGCCAGCTCCAAAAGGTTTAGGTGAGTATAACTTTTTTTTTTTTCAACCTAGACACAAGCTAGCACTTAATCCTTGCAGTGTGCAAGGGTTAAGAATTTTTTCCCCCCGGGGTTCTGCTTTAACTTCTCGTTATGTCTAGGGGTACAGGATTACCGAGCACTGCCTTATTCCAAGCTTCAACAGACTCTCTCCATCTGTGTGACAGGTCTGGCAAAGCCTCCTCTCCAAGGCCTGGTTCACACTTAGGCGTTTTTGAGCAGTTGGAAAAGCGCTTCCCATGATTTTCAATGGCCCCTGTTCACACCTGAGCACCAAAATGCCAAATGCCCAAAAAAGGTACGTGAGCTTGTTTGGGCGGTTAACAGCACGTTTTTGCCCTATAGACTTCAATGGAAAAGCCCTAAAACGCATAGCAGAAGCATGTTGCACATTTTTGTGTGTTTGTCCATTGCCCAGAATGTTTCTTAAGTCGCCAGTCAAAACGCGCATCTTCATTACGTGCGTACAAACGCGTGTCAAAATGAGTAAAACTGGCATAAATGTGTAACTAACTCCACGCTGAACACACGCTTACAAACATGCAAAAACGATGCCGCCTAGGTGTGGGCCTGGCCTTAGGAGCTCCTGGCAGCAGACACAAACTTTCCTCCTCCATGTACAATGCAGGGTTCATAGCCCTATTTTATGACGACACAGAGGGACCATCGTCCACAGCCTGGAAGAAGTTTTACCCTTTCTTACAATAATGTAAGAAAAAATTATGGCTTGTATCCCCATTTAACAAATCCTCTCGGACAATTTAAAGATGCATATGAAAGTAAACCTGCCACTTTGCAAATCCCCATGCTTTCCCTAGCTCCCCATTTGTCAGTCAGGTATGGGGGGGCATGTGAGCTTTCTCCCAGGGTGCAATGCCCTGTGCCTGAGTTCCTGCTAATTACAGCTGGGTTTATACAGCAGCTTATTTACGTTTTTGAATGTATTAAACCAACAAACTATGTAACTATGTATGTAACAAACCTAAAATGGGCTTTTTAGATTATAAAAATTGGAGCAAATAAACAGATCTGTGTGGTCATGGCATCCAAGATTTTTATAACTGGCATCTCCCAGGGAATTTTCCAAGCACCTCTGGCAGGCAGAGGCGCTCATTATCACCCTCTATGGCCACCCTTACAAATGAGACCCAGTGTGTAACAAAATATCCATTGCTCTCAATGCACATCGGAGCCTTTTTATAGGTCCTTGCCTTCAGCGCAAAGAAACATTTAACAACACGACTGTGTGAAACAAATGCTGTAAAACTGTGATAAACATAATTAGCATAGCTATACTATCGTTTATATAACATTCCAATTACCCCAATTCTACTATTTCAAAGACCGAAATGTAATAAATGTTTGAGAATATTAATTCAGCTGCTGAGCGAACACCATTCAGATGATGTGCAGCTGCTCGGATTCATCCGCTAATGAGTCACGCTCATTGTTCTAATGAAAATTCAATCAAGGGGAAAGAGACAGATATATGTTTAATGAACACACTCGGCAACTTCCAGGTCAACAGATCTATCGAATGTTTCATCGTCATTTAAATGAAAGCATAGCAGATCCAAGGCCTCCCAATACAAGCAAGAATGTATACATCAATAAATATACATAAAGTAGCATTCTACATACACACAAGGCTTGCATATACATACACACAAAGAGTCATTGAAAATGCTGCCAAATTCCTTATTCCAGATTTCCTTTCTACATGAGCTACTATAATGATATTTTAAAAAGAAGGGATTTTTTCCCCCTTATAAATAGAGAAACTCAAGTTCGATGAAAAGACCATTTTATACTATTCTAACACACAGAAAACGTTTGTGTTTTCTAGGGCATTTAAGGGAATGGGATACATTTACGGTAAGACTGTAGTAAGCAAGTTTTCATAGTATTAAAATAGGAATTATTGACCTTTATTGCTTAAAGACCCCCCAATGGCTTGCCCAATATATTCCCATACCCCTTCACCAGACGGTCAGAATAATCATCACAGGTCCCATTATATATGACTTCAAAAGATGTCAAATGCAGGCTGCGATGTGATGCAGTGTCCTAAGGAGTGCCCTGTGTACAATACCGCCATTACTAGACATTATTGGAAGAGAGGCAAATCACATGACTAAAAGGCACTGTGACCAAACCTCTCCCTATAAAAGCTATCCTTCTCCCCATTTGAACGGAGCTTTGCTTTCTTCACAACTCTGTTTCGCAGCCCCAGGGAATCCAGGAATCTAAAAAGTTACCCTTGCAGTGGGGCTACCCCCACACTGCAAGGGTTAACCGCTCACTTTGGTCTAGGGGCTCAAATAGAATAAATAAACTCGCCTGATCCTTGACCCCCCCCCTCCGGCCTCTTCTTCCTGTCTAATGACGTCAATTCACCTGCAATAGAGGTGAAGACACCGAGGGACATACAACAGATGGAGGGGAGAAAGGTGAGTGCTGACCACTGCAGGACCAATGAAGGGGTGAGTATATCTTCTGTATTCCAGCCACTAGAGAAAAATGGGCAGTTGAAGTACAGGGGTAGGCCCACAGCAAGGGTTCACTTTTCAACAGCAGGAGTTCTTTGTTAACTCATCACCAATGAGTGGTGTCACATGTCCTGGTGGCTGCTGCTTATTGTAGAAATACTCCGAGTGCCCCCAGATACATTGCTGCGCTTCTGGAGTTGCCAAGGGTTAATAGCATCTGCCAGTATAAAAAGTCTGCGCCGCTTGCCTGCTCCTTCCTCCTCCATTCACAGCAGTTGTATCATTATTTCCCACAATGCAAGACAAACTGCACTTGGAGGATGGGTTGATGAATGACTGGATATGCCTTTTCCAATAACAGGTCGCTATGTGTTGTGGAAAATGATTGGTAACCCCGACATCAGCAATCTAGGGGGTAACCGGCTGCACTTACCAGACCCATGTTAAGTAAACGGACATGTGTCTGTTCACATCAGATTAACTCCGACTGGTCACGATCAGATTTGCCAAAACAGAACTCTGCTCTGTTTGGTTTCCTGACCTGGACAGAGTCGGGGGTAAATCGGATGTAAACAGACACACATCTTTATAGATCCGGCTGCCTATAGACGAACGCTGGGCTTCCGATCAGATCCAACTGAAAAACTGACAGGCGGACCTAATTGGACCGCCCATCTGAAAAGCGCTTAAATAAAATATAACTTACAACTTTGTGGCTCCAAGTGCTTTGATTATTCCTATTTCTATTGTCATCCACAAAAATAAGAAATGATAGCTCTGGCTGGGGTCTTATGTAATTCTTTCCACCTTACACTGAACTACTTTTGATAAAATATATAATAATTTAAGTATCTGGAAGCTACTTATGCTTTACTAAGTCATTCGATGAAACAAAATACAACTACAATATTAAATCTCGCAAAAGGAAACACCTACCTGGGTCAGGTTTTAATGGATTTTATAATTGAACAAATGGTGCAAGGCTGACCCCTAAATGCTGGACATTACGTTTTAAATCTTTCCTCATTAACCCAGATATTCTCTATAAATTGCATATTTATTCTCTATAAATTCCATATTATTATTAGATTTAAATGATTGCAATCTTGTCTACAATAAATGTAAAAGAGTGAATCATCTGTAACCATTTCTTAGAACATTTGCATATGAAACAAATTTAAAACAATGCAAACTTTAAAAGACTTGTAAAAACGGGTACCTTAATGGTCTCCAAAGGTAAACCAGGCGGAGGAACTTTATTTAAGTACGTTTTCAGGTCCTGATCAACATGCTCAAAAACTAAGGTCACTTTAGTCTCGCGGTCTGTCCGAGCGGAGGCACAAACATCCATCAGCCTGTGGACATGATGATAGAGAGCGATATAAAATAAAGTAAAATAAAAGATAAGTACAGCTGATCCTTTGAGTACATCCCATCACTAAGCTTTCTTAAAAGAACCTTATGTTTCCAGTAATTTGTCTATTCACTATTTCCATTAAACACCTACAGTTTCTCTCAACAGGCATACAAACCTTAAAATCTTGGCAGTAAATATTCTACATTTAAAATTTTCCATATACTAGTAGCCTCTATATTTTATAAAAACAAGCTGGATATTTGTCTTTCATGCAAATGGCTGCTTTACGGAGTTAAAGTATCACAGTATTATGGATTCCCCATCCCTGCCAATCTTTAGTGCGTATCAAGTTTTGATGTTCATGGAGGATTTCATAAAACTGAATTCTCAATGGCATAGCTGACAATCCCGTAAATATCCATTTCACGTAGCAGACAACAGCTACAGAGGGTGCCAATGGCAACATTAATATGTTTAACTAAATTCAATGTAGGTCAGTGTATACATTATAACAAAAAGAGAAATCATTGGGAAACATTTATTTAATATAAAAAAGAAAAAACTGTTACAGGAGTGTGTGCACGCGTGTGTGTTTGTGTGTATTTCAGGAAAAGGGAATCAGAACCACTTTGTTGCAAATTCAATACATATTTAAGTAGAATGTAGCAAGGTACAATGAGGTATAGTTGTGAATGTAAGTTTTGGCCCTTTCTGCTCAAAGGCTTGAGAAAGGGTGGCTACACCCAAACTGTCACTCGTCGATATACAGAGTAGATGTACCTTGTTATTTTATACTTAACCAGTTGACATCCGCGGTGTTAAACCCCCTTCCCATCCAGGCCATTTTTCAGTATTCAGCGCTGCGGTACTTTGACTGACATTTATTCCGTCATGCAGCGCTGTACTGAAATGAATTTTATACCCTTTTTTGGGGACAGATAGAGCTTTCTTTTGGTGGTATTTATTCACCACTGGGGTTTTTATTTTTTTATATATGAAGGAAAAATTACAGATTTTTTAAAAAAAAAAACAGTTTCCCCTATATTAAATTCTAAAACATTTATAATTTCCCAATTTTTTGGTAAAATATAAAAGACGGGGTCTAGTCGGGTAAAGAGACACTAAACATGTCAAGCCTTAAAATTGCGCACGCGCGCGAAACCTCAAAAAAACTAAATTACCCAAAATTGGCCATAGGCGACGCATTAAAAGCTTTTAACGCTCATCAGTTTAGTGTTATCAGTGATTGATGGCCCTAAAATGATTGCTCTCACTGCGACGTTCGCGGAGATATGTAACATGTGTAGCGCAATTGTCATTTTCGCGTGCTGGCGCGTGCTGGCTCCGAAATTCACGCCATACAACCGATCAGCGGCTATAGAGCCGCTGATCGGTTGTATGTGAAACAGCCGTTAACGGCTGTAGTAACAAGCGGGTCTTTCCTGCCCGTGCGCGCGCGCCCCCTAGAGCAGGAAAAAAATGCCGTCTGGCGACGGCAACCCGCAGATAGGAGTCAGCCGTCCGTCCGTTTTTTCTTAACGGGCGGATGGCAAGAGGTTAAAGTGACATTAAAGTCAAATTCCCCCCACATGTTAATGTTAGCACTTACCTCAAATGATGTATTTTATTCCGATCTTCTTTCCTGATGTTTTCATCTGTCCCTCCAGTGGTGCGGCGGCTCTCCGATCCAGCGCTGACACCTCTCTGATTGCAGGCACTTCCGATCCAGCGGTGTCTGCAGGCGGGTGCACGTGTCCATAGACTTACCTTGCATCTCTCCTCGTCTCCCGGCCGAGAATCGGAACTGCGCATACGCCCGCCCCAAAATCTTTTGCGGTTGTACGAGCAGTTCCTGATTCTCGGCGCGGGAGCGCGCAAAGAAAAAACAGTAAGTTTAAACCGCTGTTTTAGCAGGTTTGTTTTTTTTTAAACTGTTTGCCTATATCTACTGCTTAATAGCAGTAGATATAGGCAAAAAAACAGGAGGGTTTAGAACCCCTTTAAATAAATATGTTTTGAATGTGCATGGCAAAGTGGTGTTGCTTTCCTGTTTTGGAATGATTTATACATATACATATACACATACACACACACACACACACACACAACACATACATACACACCCTGTATACACACACAGGAACTAGAGAGTGTAGCATAGTAGCATATGGGCTAAGCTCCCCCAAAATGTTTGGTATTAAAAGCTATGTTTAAGGGCTGGTGCACACCTAGGCAGTTTATCGTGCGGATTAAGCCACGCGACATCGTGTAAACCACCAAAGGGGGCTATTCACACCTTTGCGTTTTGTCACGTGGGCAAAACCGCTTGTCGTGCAAAAAGTTGCAGAAGCTATTTTCAGGCAGTTGTTGTGCGGTTTGGGTCCCATAGACATATCTATGCATTCAAAACCGTGCAGTTTTCAAATCAAAATTGCACAAACAAACCGTGCGAAAACAGTTCACCAGCAAAATCTCCTAGGTTTGAACCTAGCCTAAGTGAATGCTACCACCGCAGATTCTTGGGAGTGCCTCTTCTGTGGATTGATATCTATACTAGGGTTCAGGAGGTAGCATATTGTGCACAAAAAATAAATGATAATAGCTTATTCAACTTGAATTTTCCCAGTTATGGACAGCAGAGGGCGACATCAAGTAACAGGATATTGTAGACAAAGGGAGCAGTCATATGACAGGCTAATGATCTCTCAGACTGCACAGGAGTTCTAGGTGAACAATATACATAATGTGAAGTATGAAATACTGGAAAAAAGTATTTTGGAGGAAGCCACAATGTTTTGTTATTTCAGAAATATGCAACATCACTAATGATCATCTACAATTTCTTGGCTACCATCGTTGGACACTTTAAAAAAAATCTTAGACGCCTTATTTCCTGTTCAGTTGCTACTTACTGGCAAATACCAGAAGTCAGGGGTGGACAAATTAAATATGGAAATCAGGAGACAGTCTGTCCAATCCAGCAGCCAGCTCCATTGACAACAGCTAGAGAAAACCTCAAAAGTTAGGTACCAGCTGAAATTGCTATGGAGCATTGGCTACCTCCTCTTGGGATATGCCCAGCCCTGCCTTATGGGCTTTTACAGTAATTACACCCTGGTATCTAAAAATATAAAACGCATTCATCAATTATTTTTTCTTGCAAGTTTTTACGCCCTTATCAAACTAGAATACACCAACGATAAAGTTCTTATCCAGGGGGATAAACTTTTCCTCACGCAGCCAACTTCCTGTTAGTGACAGACACTGCTGGCAGTTGCTTTTCAACAAATGGCTGATAACAATGAATGAACGATAGGCTAAATTTAGATGTAAATATGAATAGAATGTCAAGAATTTAGAAAGTAAGGTCTACATAATATTTGTGACTGTTATGGTTAGCATTCCTCCTTGTCTTCTGGCAGAGTGTGTCTGGAGTCTATGCACAAAGGGCCCGATTTGTTATTGCAATAATAATACATTTGCTTAAAAGTAGCCCACACAAACTAACAAAATGATCAGTTTTTGTTGCACAGTTCCTCCAACAAGAACTCCTCTCCCAGACTTTTGTGACATTTTAATGCAGATTGCACATGTGTTAAAGCACCGTTTCCATTTAAATATACAAAACGTCAGAAATATTCAGATTTTACTAAATTTGAGCCACTTGCGTATATGTGATTGGTAGCCAGAGTGACTATAAATCCCTCTTCAGCCCCCAATTTGGAAAGCCCAATGAGATGTTTGGGTCACATCAGACTGTTCGAGAGGGACAAGCGGGCGATTATGAGCACGTTTCACGTCAGAATCACTTGTTACTTCTCAAAGATTTTCCAGCTCATTACACAATGGGACCAATCCTTCCATCATCTCTCTAAGAAAAGGAAAGGACATAATAGCAAGCACATGCACTACTTCCTTTTGTTGTGCGAGTGCCATGCTATGCATTGGGACCCACTGGACTATTTTGTGATAACCCACATGCCATTCTAGGGCCTGTCTATTGTCAGTTGAAAGCCCATTTCAACCTTTGTAAGTGATTAGCATGTATTGTGGTGATGTAGAGGTGCAGTGATGATGTATACGTGTGTATATTTTCATGAGTCACATTGCTGGCTTTTTAAATGTTTTAATGAACCTTTTAGTAGGTCCGAGTCCTACAAATTAAAATGTTTCACTCAGCCTGACAATGGGGTCAGATTGTAAAGCAGCTAACCCCCAGCACAGAGGCAGCCATTTCAAAAGAAGCCATAAGGAGGACTGTTAACAAAAAAAGTAAGATTCTGTGGTCATATACAGCAACTGCATATGTGTACATTGCTGGCATGTTTTCTTTTAATACCTCTGCAAAGGTGGAAATGGGCTTTAAGGCTCACAGATGTGTAATGACAGTCAGGGGACCCTCAGAAGATTCAACTGCCAAGATTGTGCCATACAGTATCACATAACCAAGAACATGTTTCCCTATCTGCCAGTAATCAGCAGTAGGAGTCTGACCATCTCATATATCTATGGCTATTCTAAGACTTCACTTTCCTTTTGTTTTCACATGTATAACAATGAATACACTTTTGCGAGGACAACTCTGTTATAAGTATTTGGCAACTAGACTCTATTGTTCGATTACCGTCAGTGTCTTCTCCTTGCTTTAGATAAAGGGAAGCCACAGGCTGTTTTCAAAGATAAATCCTCTGTAAGCAGAATTTGGCTTCTTCTTACGAATCAGCTACTTATGACAGAAGAGGCCTTGCATATACAAGAGATATGATATATACAGTAGGGCATCAGCCCCAGCTCAATATCTACATATGGCAGAAGATAATAGACTGTCAAATAACACCGAGCACTAATTCATCATTTTCCCTATTAACCCTTTCTGTACTGTACTTACTACCTCTCCAAATATTCTCTTATATGTCAAGCCTATGAGCACTATATTGACTGTTTCAATGCAGTGAAGACATTTTTGTACTGAACCTTTCAGCAGAGAAAAATAAAAGCATATGCATTGTAGGGAGCTGGAAAGGTCTCTGCTAGAATAACATTCTGTGGGCGATTCTGTTCTCAGTATGCATTCATTGAGAGGCAGCAGAATAAAAGGCCATAGTATATAATATGATGCCAGGGCCATAATTAACCAGGCTTATAAAACGCTTGTAAATGTAACCGGTCACAAACCTAGTATACAAAATAAATACAAGGCACCAATAATCTTGTCTCAAGGCTACTTTTCAAATATAAAACCAAAAAAGTGTAGGCTTTAATTAGAAAGGTAAAACCACTCAATAGTCTATATCCCAGGGCTCATCCTGCAGCCCTATGGTACATACTACACAGCCCTGAGGGCCTGGCAACCAGTGGTCTTCCTATTCTTCACTTAGGTGCCTACTTTGACCTCAATCTTTATCTTAGAGCTGTAGCATTGAAATCAAATAGAAATCAGAGGGGCTATTACAGGCAACAAACATATGATGCTAGCCCTGAGGAAGGATTTTTACTTTTAAAGATTCAAACTGGTAGACAGGTTCAGAGCCAGATAAAAAGTAAAGGAATTACGCTTACCAGGCTGACGTCAACCTCCTCCTCCAATAAAGTCTTAGTGGTGTTACCATTTAAAATCCTGCTGTTGGCAGGCAAACAGCTCCTATATATATATATATACACACACCTCAATTGTGTATTTAGCTGTTTGGAGTTCACCTTTATGATTTTTTTAAAATTGTAAGAAAAAAGGATTTTTGTACTCGCTGTAAAAAACCTGCCACCATATTCTCTGGCTCTTCCTCCAAGTTCACTGCAGCCTCACCAAAGTATATTAAGGGCTAGTTCACACCACAAACAGTGCGTTCCGGCCCGATTCGGGGGCCGCAATGCACTGGATCGTATCCTGGCGGGCTCACTGCGTTCCCATTTTGAGGCGGGAGGGGGCGTGGTGGTGCACTAAAGTCAATGTCAGCGCAGACACAATACCTACAGATAAATGTGATATACATAAAACTGATGTGTATTCATTCTCCTAATTTAAATTAAGGTAAATGCAGGTCATGTAGAAAAAACAAGTACATCCCCAGCTATGCCACCACTTCAAATACATAAATTTAGATTAGGTATTCCACATTACATGCCAATTAATAGAAACTCCTTTAGGGAGTATGCAAGTGGATCTTAGTCTATTTAAACGTCAGCTATCTGGTCTGGTGCTCTCCTTGCCAATGATGGGTGGTTGTAATCATGCAAAGGAAACACAGAGCTCTCCAAATCCCCCTGAAAGGTTGTGGATGCCTAGGAGTCTGACAAGGAATTTTTAAATGAATACACAATTATATGAAAATTAATTAACTATTCCACTGTAAGGAAAATAATTTAATGGCATAGAAGACTGCCAATTTGTTCAGGACTGGCCATCCCAGCAGATTAAGCTCAAGAGCCATTTGATGCTAAATGAAGTCTCTAAAAATCCCAAAATTGAGGGATCTGCAGGTAACTCTTGCAATGGTGGGGGTCAAAGTGCACACATCTACAAAGAGATTGCACCAATTATCTGCATAGGAGGTGTGCCAGACAAAAAAAGCCTTTGTTGTCCAAAAAGAACATTAGAGAACGACTATAGTGTGTCATTAAACATATTAGGCATGGAACCTTGTGCTGTGGACTGATGAATCAAAAACGGAGCTGACTGTAGCAGAAGAAACGTGTGTCACGGGTGGTACAGTTACCACCCCGTGCCAACTGTACCATTGTGGTAGAAATTTTACGGTTTGGGATTGTTTTCTCCTTCTAGGCTTTGGTAACTTGCAGTGAACTATGAATTCCACATGATGTCAAAGTGCGCTTGATCAGAATGTGAGGCCAGCTGTTTGAAAGTTTAAGTTGACTTGATGTTTCACCACAATAATAATGTGAAGGACACTAGCAAATCCACCAAGGAATGGCTCAAAAAGAAGATATGTGGGGTTATGTTTAAATCTGATTGGAATGTTTTGGAGGGATTTGAAATGGGCAGTTCATTCAAGGGAAACCCACAAACATCTTGCAGCTGATAGGATTTTGCATGGAGGAGTAATTAAAAAAAAAAGTATTGTTTTGATGGCAAAGGCTGGTGAGCAGTTATACAATAAGCCTACAAGAAGCCATTTCTGATAAAGGGGGCAATCCCAGCTCATGAGGCCAAGGTTGTATGTAGTTTTTCAACATTTCACCACCTATACATATTTTTGTAGAATAAATGTTTTTTTTGTTTTTTTTTAAAAGGCACCATTTCTTTGTGTTTTTATTTAGGTGCATCACCTTTTACCTGCAGGCACTGTTTGAAGAAGGATTTAATGTTTGCCTGGTCAAATATGCTGAAGAGTCAACAATTTCCATGGAGCAAACTTACCTTTTTCACGTGACTATATACCGTAAAAACAGGACAAAAGTACTACAAGTACTTTTCTCCAGTACATGCTGCAGTAAAACAGCCTATGGTCTTTGAAAATGAGTACAACGCTAGTACTTACAGGGTAGCAGCTAGCTTGATCTTTCACCCCACATATTGTAGCAGTTTACTGCTATAACCAGCCAGTGCCCCTAAATGAGGACTCTAAGACAAAAGGAGTAGAACAAAGCCTATAATTTCCTGTGGCCTGCAAACGCTGGCACTTTCCCAATTCTATTCTCCCATTACAGAAAGGTCGAGTCATTGCATTCAGAAGAGGCTGCTTTCATGCTTGAGTGCCAAGCGCGTCCTTATTGAATTATGGTTAGTAACAGACTGCATTTACACACAGTAGTGAACCCAGTCATTACCATTTGAATCTCAAGTGAATTAGAAAGAAGCAGTGCCCGTACTTACCCCATGCTGGGATGACAGAGAGAGAGGAGAGCAGTGAAAACTTGCACATCTTCCATTTCCAGTGAGAAAATATGCACAAATTCACATTTTAATATAGAAGAACTAAAATATCTGCGTACTTAATAGTGGAACTACATCCAAACGTTCTTCTTTTGTTTGGTGTACAGTTACAACCTTTGTTAATTTTTTCAGTTTTAATATCCTTACTGACCTAAAGCGATGCTATCCAGGGAATAACATAGATACTTACACAATTGATGTGATGCCCACGTGGGCCATGTGCCTGTCAGTCTTCTCTGGTTACACTTCTCGCTCATTTCCCCCTTTAACCTTCTTCCTCCACTTCTTCCCTCTTCCTCATCTTTTCTCCTCCCCCCCCTCACCCATCTCCTTATAGTTCTGGGTACAAAGCCGTTACCTTCCCGCAGACCACCACGTCACTTTCCATGGCATATCGTTACTCATTTTCAATATGCTACTTTGTTTAACTACTTTTTTGTGACATGTAATGCTTTATATACACTGTATATTGTTGTACCATTTTCATATCCTTATACACCATGATCCTTGTCTATTGTAGAATTATTTCTCTTAAATGGGACACTATGTCTACATACCCTACTTTGTGTATTGTTTTCTTGTATCTTTTCTAATTTGTTTCAAACACAAATAAATGCTTAATATTTACCTCTCTGGCAGGGACAGATTTGGATGTTCACCATTTTCCAGAGATCAGCAGCTGAGGAATCTTCAGACTCCAACACCATCAAGTGTGACAGATGTTTGTGTGGTTCTATGCACACTACTGAACACAATATGTAAGGGGCAGTAGATGTAACCACAGAATTCAGCCGGGAAGGAAGGGAAGTCCACAGGTTTCTGACAAACCCGGAGGCATCAGATGCTGAAAGTTCTTCATGCAGTGTAGCTCTGCACTGCAGGAGGGGCAAGTAATAAGAATATTCTCTACAGGACACTTTTTTAAAGTGACAGAATCACCAGTCATAAAAGCTTAGAGACTAATATGCCAATACTTGGTGATATGGTGGTGTTCTGACCAGTATTTAAAAACAAGGGATACTCATAGAGCCTATGATAGTGGTATAAAAATACTGTTAATGAGCTTCCATCACAAGCTTGTGTCAGTCACCCCTCCCCTGATGACATAACACCAAGGCCCCCCATCCCCAAAGCAAACTCCTAGCGTTACTAGTTTTGTGCTGTTTCACTGTCCTGGATGGAGCGTCAGCATGGACTCAGGAATTATTGCTAGTATAAACGTGTTGCATACTTTCCTACACAGCACATATTTTAAGTGTCAGCAACCTTTCCCTTTTAACAAAAGATTTGCTTACGATGAGTTTTTTTTTTGCAAAAAAAATTGACATTGAAATGACTAATCCTCATATACTCTTTGAAAAGCAGCATGATGCTAACTAAAAATGATAAAGATTTGTATGGACTTTTCAGAACAGAGGCACAAGCAGTAATCAAAATATGCCATACATTGAATCTGCATCAATTTTCTATTATGTTTGCTCTGCCGGATCTCTGTCGCTGTCCAAGTCTACCCTAGCAAGATTTCCGCTTACTTCCTGTCTTCGTGACAACCAAAGGTGGCCATACACTGCTCGAATTACTGACGTGTCTTGCTGTCTCTGTCAAAATTTGAGCTGTGTGAGGACCTATCAGCACCACTTTATCCAACAGAAGTCGATTTTTAAATCTATTTATATGCAATATTTGGACTCTGCAACTGAAAGTAAAGTACACGGCAGGTTTTAATAAAGATAAAAGAAAAGGTTATTCCCCAGATCCCTTCTATACTAGGCATGCTGATACCTCACAGGCATGCTGATACTTGTGTTCCTCTGGAGACCACAAGAATACAAGGACCTGCAGACCCCGGGTGACCACACATGCATGCTTGGACTTGTAGTCCCTGGTGACCCCACAGGCATGCTGGGATTTGTGGTCGTCTGGAGACCACAAGTATACTGGGATTGGGACCTGCCCCAGTATACTTGTGGTCCCACAAGTCCCAGCATGCCTGTGAGGTCACCATGGACTACAACTCCAAGCATGCCGGTGTGGTCACCCAGGATCTGCAGGTCCAAGTATACTTAAACATTGTGTTGATTTTTCACTACTTTAAATGCACAGAATTTCCGCACCTGATATCGGTCTGAAAAGTGGCCGAATATCGGTATCAGCTCTGGAAATATTATATCGGTCGATCGCAAATTCTGACAGCTGCAGGCGCCAGCTGTCAGGATACAATGACACAGCAAGTGTGATTCTCCTATCCGCATTGTTTCGTATGGATGGGGGAAATCGAGCATGTTTTCTCGTTCAGCCTGCGGCCTACAAGAATATGGCCAACTTAACATAAGAAAAGAAAGAAAGGCGCAATCTTCTAAATAGGGACACAGACAGCAATAAATACCTGACTGATTCTGATCTCTACTATCAAAAACAAAAACATTTTAGCTTTAATAGTGGTGGTGTAGTTATATTTTAAATTATTAATTTAGTGTGTCAACTCTACCTACAGCATATCCAGTCCAATCAGATCTGCTCCCATTGTGAAAGGGCAGCTGTCATAACTGCAATTCTGCATGAGCTACGTATACCAGAGGAGCCAGGTCCATTGACAACAACTAAAGCCAACCTCAGAAATTTGGGTGCCAGCTGTAATTTTTAATTTTCAATGCAAGTCTGTGCACGGATCCTACCCAGCTTCTGGGATTTGTCCAGGTAAGAATAGGCACAGTGTGTGTGGATTTAGGCCATTGGGCATGCAGCATCACTCCCTAAAGGTGCCCATACACTGCACGATTCTCGTACGAGAATCGCAGGAAATCCTGCGATCGTACGAGAATCGTGCAGTGTATGGAAGGCGTGCAACCGTTTCTACTGTACGGTCGCACGTCTTCCGTCGAACCAGCATGCTAGAAAACCCGCCGGGAATCGTACGATTCTCGGCGAGTTAGTGGCCTGTTGGTTCGACAACTGACGAACGGGCCGGTGTGCGCACGCGCACACTGCCCGTTTGCAGTCATCGTAAGCCCGCCCCTCATTACAGTCATCGTAAGCCCGCCCCTAAGGGGGGCGGGCTTGCGATGATTGAGAGTACGATCTGCCTGTCCAAGATGGGCAGATCGTACTTTTTTTAAGTACTTTACAACCATCGCAAGACTAAGGTCTTGCGATGGTTGTAAAGTGTATGGCCACCTTAAGAAACAACTTGCATAGCTGGTTACTGTTCAGCAGGTTCTCATTGTAAAAGCAATATTCTAATCTTAGTTAGTCCAGAGAAATGTGCAAGAGGAACATGCCAATCCTGAGGGACAGCAGTGACCTCTCCAGTCATGTAGGGGAAAGTCCACCATTTGCAGGCATACAGGTGACCACTGAGGCCAGTTGTCAGCTTCCTGATAACATGTATAAAGTCTTGAAGTATGCGACTGGGTGAGCAACAAACACAATGCAATTACCAGAGGTCAGCTAATTCCACCATGATTGCTAATCTATGACGGGAAATTCTGGCGACCCATCCCAGCCAGGTACAGACTTGCATGTCATGTAAAATGTATGTCTGTTAGTTGCAAGGCCATTTTGCCGAGGGAAAATGTTAACTAATGTAATGTATAAATCTGAATCAGCTGTCACAGACTTGCAAATTACTTTAGTTAGCATGAGTATAAAATATGACAAATATTCGGAGCATACATCTCCTTTGAGATTGCTACAGACAGGCTGCCGTGCAGCTGTGAGAAGGGCTGGTCCGAATCTGTGGCAAACGCACAACAGTAGTTCTGTCATTGCCCCTCATTCACAAAACAAGACTGAGGTCAAGGAAGGCATACAGTCATTTCAGTGCTATTTCCTGGCCATGGCACTAAAAAGCTATGAGGTTCCCTTTACCTTGGAGTAGATGCGAAGACATTTACTAAAATCTCAACAAGCTTGAGCATGCTAATGTGGTTTTATAGAAGTCATTTTCAATCATTTAAAATTTGCAACTTCCATTAAAATAATACCCGGTGACCCTGCCATAAAAGTATTTGTCAAGTCCCTTCTATTACAGTTTAACTACTATCCCTCCCAACTATGCTCCTGCATTGTCATCTTGTCATAACCTCCTTCTTCTACTTCTACTGTCCATTCGCATACCTAAGCTAGTCAACAAGGTCATTCTGCTATTTACTGGTGTAGCACAGCTGCTTCCTAGGTTAGCGTTTACTTGGTGTACATAGGTGATGATGCTACTTCACTGTTTGCGGAGGAGGGTGATGGTGGACAGATGACATATGAAGTTGAATTGCTTAATTTTGAACCCCATGTGTCACCTGCCTAGAATTTTGATGTGAAAAATGTTTGTAGATCACAAAATTGTCTGTACAGAATTACAAATCATTTGGCAGATGAACCTGTAAATATATATGTATTTCAACTGTGTATTTAACTATATGTCGGAAGTGTTGTTTTAATCTCCATTTGCCACTGGGAATAATGATTTCGCTTTTCCCAAACAATCTCCTCTAAAAGCAACAGGAATTTACTGTAAGAGGAGGTTGCCTGGAAAACATGAATGGGATCCTGGAAATAAGTTTACTCCGGGCACCTGAGACACACTTGCATGTAGTGGGGTAGCGGGAAAGCATGTAATTATCGTAGCAGAGGGGTAGTTGTCAAGCTTTTGGTTATCCATTCCAAACTGGTATTTCCGTTTTTGGTAGATCCCAGGTGCCTGAAAGGTTTATTGTCCTCTTAAAGCCTCTTGTACACTAGCAGGCTGTGTTTAAGTCCAACATAAGTTATCTAGTAAGTATAAACAACTTTGCCTCCCAGATCACTTTTTTCTGTGCGAGGCTTAGTCGCATTTATACGCGGTTACGCGTGTTTAGCCGCATAAAACTAGGCTAGTCGGACCCGGAACGCACAAATTTCTATTTTGGGTGAACTGACCTAGATTGAAGGCACCTACACGCTGCTGGACGCCTAGGTGTGCATTCAGTTATAGAAAAGCATTACACGAGTCCAGGTGCGTTTAGAAATAAGCTCAAAACGCACCTGAACTCAACGTTTTGGTACATAGTGTGTCTGAGGCCTCTCTCTCCTCGTCAGTAGCAGCCATATAAAATTTTCCCACAAGTTCCAAAGGCAGCTATACAAAGTACAAATAAGATATGCGTGTGTCTTGTGCTTTAGGCTGGGTTCACACCTAGGCGTACGGAATATGCGCGTTTGCCGCGCATTTCGTGCCACACGTTTTTACCGCGATTTGCGATAAAAGAAACATGCGACAAACGCGCATTTCCGAGGGCTATCTGGCTGTATCCTAATGGATACGCGCGGCAAATACGCCCAGGTGGTAACCATGCCCATATTTGTAATATTAGAAAATTGCTCAAGACAGCAGTATAACAATCTGTTACTCAAAAACACACAGTAAAAAGTTGCGTGTATGAAATCTTCGCCAAACCTTCATAACAAAAAGCCACTGTTGTACAGAAAATATTTTCAAGCGCACACAAATTATAAGAATATTCTGAAGCCAGTTCCCAAGGCTTTTATGTACTCTCTTGTAACTGCTTGCTGCACAGTCAAGTGACAGTTAATCATCCGACTGCAGAGACGTGAATCTCTGGCATTTAAAACCACAGCTGAGAATGTGGGAAAAAACAAAAAAAAACATACTTTTGGTCAGACAAG